AGTCAAGTGCCTTCAACACTATGCTACCAGAGCTCCCTAAGGGACTATTAGTGTAGGGTATATTTTAAGTCAATCTCTTTTGAGATAGAGAAGGCTAAGCAAGTAAGCAAACAAGGGGAGTTGGGGAAAGATAGTTGCCATGCCACATGAAGATTACCACGGAACTGAGCAGAAAAGAGACAAAGATCTTCCTCTAGAGTGGACAGAGAGAGAGCCTTCCCTCAGAGCCGGTGCCCTGATAACAGACTTCCAGCCTCCTTAACAGTGGGAAAATAAATTTCCGTTCATTAACACAACCAACCTATGATACTTCTATAATAGCAGCAGTAGATAACTAAGACACAAAGTAATAACAGTAATACCATCACACATAGGGCTTACCATGTGCTATGCCCGGGTCCAAACACTTTATACATATAGGATTAACTGATGTAATCCTCTTTGAAAAATACACAAAAAACCAAACCCATTGCTGCTTAATCAATTTTGACTCATAGTGTCCCTATAGGACAGAGAACTGCCCCATAGGGTTTCCAAGACTGTAAATCTTTACAGAAGCAGACTGTCACATCTTTCTCCCATGGAGCAGCTGGTCAATTTTTAGCAGCTGAACACTTTAACCCACTGTGCCACCAGGGCCTCCTTTGTAATCCTAACAGCCTGTTAAAAATCAGTTGCTGTTGCTTCCGACTCACGGCCACCCCGTACGTGTCAGAGTAGAGCTGTGCTCCACAGGGTTTTCAGTGGCTGATGTTTCAGGAGATCACCAGGACTTTCTTCTGATGCACCTCTGGGCAGACTCAAACCTACAACCCTTTCAGTTAGAAGCAAGGTGTGTTAATCCTTTATACCCTCACTGCCACCGACACATAGCAACCTCCACTGAGTTTCTGAGCCTGTAAATCTTTACGGAAGTAGACTGCCCCACTTTCCTTCTGCAGAGCAGCTGGTGGGTTTGAACCACTGACCTTCTGGTTAGCAGCCAAAATGTTTTATCCCCTATGCCACCGGAGGTCCTTTACATCACCCAGGAACTATAATTATCATCACTTTATAGATAAAGAAACTGAAGCAGAAAAAGGTTGGTCATTTGCCCAAGGTTGACTAGTTGTTGTTGTTGTTGTTGTTTTAGATGCCATCGAGTCATCTCCAACTCATAGTGACCCTATGCTCAGCAGACGAAACACTACCCAGTCCTACGCCAGCGCCATGATCCTTGCTATATTGACCCCACTGCCACTGCGTCAATCCATCTCATTGAGGGCCTTCCCCTCTTTCATTGACCCTCCACTTTACCAAGCATGACATCCTTCTCCAGGGAATGGTTTCTTCTGACTATATGACCAAAGAATGTAAGACAAAGTCTGGCCATTCTTGCTTCCAAGGAGCATTCCGGCTGCACTTCCTCCAGGACAGACCTGTTAGTTCTTTTAGCAGTCCATGAAACTTTCAGCATTGTTCACCAGCACCACAACTCAAAAGCATCAACTCTTCTTCGGCCTTCCATATTCATTCTTCCTTATTCATTGTCCAGCTCTCACATGCATATGAGGCAAGTGAAAATACCATGGCTTGTGTCAGGTGCACCTTAGTCCTCAAGGAGACAACTTTGCTCCTCAGCACTTGAAACAGGTCCTTTGCAGCCGATATGCCCAGTGCTGTATGTCATCTGATGTCCTGACTGCTGCTTCCATGGGCATCAACTACATGTAGAACCAAGCAATGTAAAGTCTTTGACAACTTCAGTCTTAATGGAGGAGTGTCTTGGTTCTTTACTGCTGCTGTAATAGACATACCACAAACTTATGGCTTTAACAAATAGGCATTTATTCTCTTACAATTTAGGAGGCTAAAGTCCAAGTTCAAGATAAAAGCCCCTCCACTTTGGGCTTCAGCTCTGCCTCCCGTTCCAGGCCCACTTGAGCTGCAGGCTTTTTCTGACTCACACAGCTGCTGGCCGTGAGACTGACAAACCCAAGACTGACTAGTAAAATGGCACAGTCCCAAGAGTAGCAAGCAGCACAGCAGGGCACTAGTTCAAGTCCAGAAATAGTGCTGAGATCAGCAGGCAACACAGCAGGCCGCTGACGACAGCCAAATCCAGGATCCAGATGTGCCAAACAGCTCAAGACCTTTCTCACCGCTTCTTCAAGTTGGCTTAGGCGCAGACCTGGTTGAGACTTTTGGAAAGTAGTAACTAGTCTCTATAAACCAAATATTTTCTTTCTAATAACCCATCCAAGTCAAATGCTTTTCCAAATGTTCTCACAAAATAGGTCACATTCACTGCAAATTCTGACATAAGCCTCTGGAAGTCAGTGTACCTGCTTTTACTTGCTTATCTGCCAAATTGCTAGTATTTATCACCACTGAGGGCAGCACTAATTCCTTTGGCTGCAGCAGGTTAAAATTTAGGGCAAGTCATCTTTACTAGTTATAAAAAATTGAGTAAGATTGGAAGATTGGTGGAGTCTATCTTGGTGGATCTCAAACGCTTTCTCAACTATGGTCCAGGGCAGTTTAGGTACAAATAGATGTATAAAGGGAGGCAATATGGTGGGTGGACACTCAATTTACCACATTACTTGTTATACCACTAGTTAATCCCAGCAGAGACTAGTTTCAGCACACCCTGCTCCCAGTGGCAGGGTTGGAAAAGAGCTTTAAGAATTCCAAGGGTATACCAAAGGTGAGTGACCAATATGGCAGCATTGAGGATGAGAAAGACATAGAGAGGTACATGGGAAGTACAGACAACAGAGATGAACCCTTTTGCATATACAGTACTGAGTTGTCAGTGAAGGCAAACATGGGTATATGGATGGATAGATAGGTGGACAGGCTAAACAATTAGGTATGTCTAAATGGGGAGTGTATCCAAGATCATATATAGGGTTGCAGACAATGGTCCTATAAGTTTATGTGAATGATCAGAATTCCCAGGTGTATAGTAGAGCTGACAAGGGGCAAGGTTGTGGTCACTGCTTGGTCATAGCCAGCTACCCAGAGCGACCGAGTAGTTGAACGTGCAGGCTTGGGACCATAGTCGCAGGAGACATCAAGCTCAATTGGCATAACATACTATACAAAACATTGTTCTACCTCCTACTTTGGCAAGTAGCGACTGGGATCTTAAAAGCTAGCAAGCTGCCATCTAGATGCAACGATGGGTCTCTCATCGTCAAGAAGAAAGAAGAAAACCAAAATTAATGGAAACAATCAGTCCTAGCGACTGGTACACCATCCGATCTGCAACCTATACAACTATGAGACCAGAAGAACTAGATCATGCCTGGCTACCACTGTCATCCACTTGGAAGGGATGTAGGAGATCCTGCATAGAGAGGGAGAACAATGTGGAACAAAACTCAAAATCATTTTGGAGGCAAAAAAAAAAGGTGGGGACCAGTTAAAAAAAAAAAGAATTCCAAGGGGAGGTGCCTCTAATAAACTGTCAGGCTCCTTTCAGGAACAAATACTTTGGGGTCAGGAGCTTTGTCTGACTGGTTGCAGCCTCAAAAAACAAAAACAAAAAAAAACTCAAACTCACTGCCGTCGTCATAGAGACCCGCCCCCCTTGGGTTTCCGAGGTGGTATCATTGGGGAAGTAGATTGCCCAATCTTCCTTCTGAGGAGTGGCTGGTGGGTTCGAACTGCCAGCCTTCTGGTTACCAGTCAAATGCCTTAGACACTACACCACACCACTGGGCTTCTAAAAAGATCTTGCCCCTGGATTTTACATGTAGAAATTGTTGAACTGGCAGATATTTTTGTATGTATTTGTATGTATTTTGACCAGTTTTTTTTTTTTTTTTTTTTTTAAAGTTGTCTGGCCCCTAAAGCAAAAACCCGAAGCCATCGTTTTCTTGAGTGTAGTCTTTATCGAAGCAGATTACCAGACCTTTCTTCCAAGGTGCCACCGAGTGCATTCAAACCAACCACCTTTTTAGGTTAGGGGAATCCTGGAAGGTGTTTATTATGTAGCTGTTAACAGATCAAAGTTTGATGAGGTTTATAAAATGAACAATTAATGCCTTCTTGAGAGTCTAATATTTGATGGGAATGAAATATTATGTAAAAACACTGATTCAATGGTAAGGAATTATGCTCAACACCAACAGGGCAAAAAAGGCTTAAAAATGCCCTGAATGTCACAGTTTATTAGCTACAAACTATTTTCTTGGTGAGGTGAAGGTAAGTTCTGGTTTGCCTTTAATTTTTTAGTCCTCTTGGAAAAAGTGGGGGCTCTAGTTGCCTATCAGATTCATCAACATGATGTAACAACAAACGGACAAAATAATGTACTATCCAGGGGGCATGGGGTTCATTCAGAATAAAAATACATTATAAAAATAGTCATTTCTGTTTCTTTTCACAATTTTTCTGGCTCCAAAAGCCCTCTGGTTTTAGATGGATGCGCTGTGCTGGAGACAAGCTGAGGTAAGGCATGTGAGTCTCACAGGCAGGTAAAGGGATCTTCGTGAGTAGATCATCAAACTCTCCATTTTATAAAATGTGTCATTCTGCTAATCTAATCACATTTGACAAGAAATTTACTTACCCAAGAAATTTTATTCTGCAAGTTTTATACCTGTCTCCTATGGATGAGAATCATTTTAATTTATGATACACTGGGAACATTCAAGAATGGTATCTTGCATTTGTAATTTAAGAACCTACTTTTAAAACTGAGATTTGCATTTATATAACTATGATGTTATAGAAAATTAGAAAGCAAACAAATGGGTATTTATAAAACTGGTATTTCAAGAAAGGATCTGAAATATGACTTTTCCAACTCCTTCATAAACTGAGGGTCATACAATTCCTATAAGAGGAATTATTTTCCTAACTGTACTCCAGAATATGTCAAAGGGAAAACATTTTGAAATCTTAAGACTTTCCTATTTTAGATGGATTTCTTCTGAGAATTATTTTTCTAATCAGTATTATATGAAATACTCTAGTTGATAAAAGGCCAAACATTTATAGTCTTCTTTAGTTGAATGAATTTTTATGTATTAACACAGATGGTATTCCGGTATTTATCATACCAAGTAGAAAGGAACAATTAATTTTTAGCATCCAGGTCTCTATAAATATGAAAGTACAGTATAATTTTCATTGATGATCAATACTGTAGATTCCATGTTATGGTTAATTCCAGGAACATAAAATTCTGCATCTTCAGAGGAAAGAAAGTGTATTTTCAGTTGAAACAATATCTTCAGAGAGTTTTCAGTTTGTCTTTATCTTGCTCTTTCTGACTGCAAAGTGCAAAAGATTCCTGAACAAACTGCCTGCACATCGGGCACTGCTGGAAATACCTGACACAACCATCACACAAGCACGTGTGTCTGCACGGCAGGAGCACCCAGTTCACTGGCCCGTTCTGGCAGACGACACAGTCCTTGCTATTCTCCTCAGGAGGCTCTGCTTCACTTTCAGAAAGTCCGGCCTTTGCTAACAAACTTCTGTCTGTGTTTTTTCCTTCTGGAGAAGTATTGCTTGAGGGAGTGGAAGTATTATTTGCAGACATGAAAAGTTGCTGAAAATCAAAGAAACAAGTTTAAAGATAATTACAAATGACACTTAAGTCTTTAAACCTGGGGGTCATAAAAGCAGTTGCAAAGGTACAAGCTAGAAATTCCAAGAAAAGTGAGGACTTATTTTCAGAAGTCAGGGATGAAAACAAGGAAACAGGATTTTTTTTTAAAAAATTTTCAGGACTTCAGATCTCTGGGTGGTATATGCTTAAATATACCACACAAAGGCAGCAAAGATATGTACTGCAAAGAAGAAAACATTTAGTGGAAAAAAAAATTCGTAACGTTTATTTAGCTGACTTTTTTTTATCATATCTCAGTGAAAAATACAATAATCTTTTTACAAATAGTTATTCTTTTAAATTCTGTAAACAAGAGACAGAGATACTACAAGGTACAACTTACCTTAAGATCATGAAATTGACCTTGAGCCAGGAGTAAATATTGATACAATATTCTGCAGGAAAGCTTATAAGTCTTATCAGGAATATGAATTACTGATACCATTGAAATCTAAAATGAAAAATGAACAAAGGTCAATACTTCACCTCCTTATATTACTACATAGATACGTAAAAAAATTCATCTTTAAGAAGTTGATAAATAAGAAAATTTACACTAATTACAGTCTCCAAAGAGGGGCATATTTTTGTCTGAGTTATTTATGCTCAAATTCTGATTACAGATATAGATGAATTATTGTGAACTAGCTAAAAAATCCTGGAAAAAATCTATATTCAAAATAAATAAGCCTACGCTCCCAAATTAGATTATGCCATATAGTTTACCTTGGCTTCTAAAATATTACATTTGGAAAAGGGGCAACAGGAATAGACATATTCAATAAACATTACTGACTAACTTTTTAGGGAGGAGAGTGAACAAGTAAGGCTAAGGGCACATGAAAGCAAAGCATTAAAGCATTCTTAGACCTTTTTAGATTTTGTTAATGATACAAATTATCAAATTACCATTTAGAGTGAGATTAGTATTGGCATGATGTCCACATATATAAATGGCAAATAAGCATATGAGAAGATGTGCAACATAATTATTTATTAGGGAAATACAAATTGAAGTCACAATGAGGTATCACCACACTTACTGGAATGGTTAAAATTAAAAAGAGTAATCACAACAAGAGTTGCTAAGGATGTGGAGGAACTAAAATTCTGTCATATACTGTTAGTGGGAATGTAGAATGGTAAACCACTTTAGGAAAACAGGTAGATTCTTAAAAAGTTACACATAACACCTTCCATATGATTCTACTCCTAGGTATTTGCCCAAAGAGAAATGAAAGCATATGTCTAAATGAAGACTGGTATTCGAACATTTACAGCTACTTTACCAAGTATCTATCAATAGGTGAATGAACAAATAAATTGTGATATATCCATGTAATGATATATAATAAAAAGGAATGAACTATTAGAGGAACATGGATAAATCTAAAAATAATTATGCCAAGCAAAAGAAGCCAAAGAGTACATAGCACACAATTCCATTTATATAAAAGTCTAGGGTATGCAAACTAATTAGTGATAGAAGACAGATCAATGGTTTCCTGGAAGCTGGGGAATGGGGAAGAGATGGGACTTATAAAGAGACATGAGGAAGTTTTTGGACGTGATGCATAAATTATCTTGATTGTTCTGGTGGGTTTATGGATGTATATATATAAGCATCACATTACACACTTTAAATAGGTGCAATTTATTGTATGTCAATTATACTTCAATCAAGCTATTAAAAAGTTAGGAAACTTCCCAGAGAGTAGCAACAGAAAACCAAAACCAAACTCACTGCCACTGAGTCAATTTCAACTCATAGTGACTCCCACTGAGTTTCCAAGGTGGTAAATCTTTACAGAAATAGATTGCCCTGCCTCCCTTCCACAGAGTGGTGGTCGGTTTGAACCACCAACCTTCTGGTTAGCAGTTAAATGGCTTAGGCACTGTGCTACCTGAGATCCATAGTATCAACAGAGCAAGATACAAAGCAGGATTAAAAAAATACCACATTTTATTTGTTCATTCACCTATTGACAGACACTTGGTTTAGTTTCAGTGTTTAAATGTTACAAATAAAGTTGCTGTAAACGTTTGTACCAGTCTTCATTTAGACATATGCTTTCATTTCTCTTTGGGCAAATACCTAGGAGTAGAATTATATGGAAGGTGTTATGTGTAGCTTTTTAAGAATCCACCTGTTTTCCTAAAATGATTTATCATTCTACACTCCCACCAACTGTGTGTGACAGGATTCTTGTTCTTCCACATCCTTTGTTGTTGTTATGTGCCGTCGAGTGGCCCCAACTCATAGCGACCCCTCCTTGGGTTTCCGAGGCAGTATCACTACGGAAGTAGGATTGCCCAACCTTCCTTCCGAGGAGTGGCTGGTGGGTTTGAACCGCCAGCCTTCTGGTTAGCAGTCAAGTGCTTTAGCCACTATGCTTCCAGAGCTCCTTAGCAACTCTTATTGTGGTTACTCTTTTTAATTTTAACCATTCCAATAAGTGTGGTGATATCTCATTGTGACTTCAATTTGAAGCACTTTAGGAGGTGTAACAGCTGAATACAGAATTCCAAAAGGACCAAACCAAACCAAACCCACTGCCATCGAGTCAATATCAACTCACAGTGACCCTACCAGACAGAGCAGAACTGCCCCACAGGGTTTCTCAGATTATAAATCTTTATGGAAGCAGACTGCCTCATCTTTCTCCCGTGGTGTGCCTGGGGTGTTCACACCTCTTATGGTTAGCAGCTGAATGTTTAACTGCTGCTCCACCAGAGCTCTGTGAGTAAAAGACAGGAGTCAAAAGACAACGTAACAGGTCTTATTTTACTTCAGTTGAATGGGGAAGACGGGGAGAGAGCGAAAGAGGAAGGAAGGAAGAAAACCTGATCTTCCCTCCACACCACCTCATGGACATGCCACCGAGAATGGGTTTGCTGCCAAGCTCTATGAGGCTTGCTAACATCGCATGGTATGTCTTGTCATTGGAAAAAATGAGCCCACTTCAGCTCAATTTGATAAGATTAAACACACATTTACAAATTAAGAGAGGCTTAACTGCAAATGAGCAGGGTCTAGATTTGCCAGTAAAACTCTGCACCTTCCAAAGCTCAATGTCTGCTTGTTTCGGGGAGACATCCTGGTCACAGAAAGGGCTCTGGTGCAGGACTCCAAAGGCCTAAAATCAAGCCCTGGTCCATTTCTTACTGCCTAGATGCTGGATGACTGGGCTTTTTCTTTGAGTCTGTTTTCCTTCTGTGTAAGAAGGATATTTGCCCTAACAAAGGTTGTTAAAGGAATAAACAATACTAATTAATGTACTTTGTATACTACAAAGTATCACTTAAAAAAAAAAAAAAAAGGTTACCATCTCTCCATTAATGAATATATCTATATCATGGAGCTCCTGGGTGATACCAATGGTTAACACTCTCAGCTGCTAACCAAAAGGCTGGAGGTTCAAGTCCACTCAGAAGCACCTCAGAAGAAAGGCCTGGCACTCTCCTAAGAATCAGCCACTGGGAGCCCACGGAGCCCAGCTCTGCTGACACACACGGGCCACCGAGAGCTGGAGTCAACAGCACCTAGTTCATTCATCCTAATCACTGCAGAAAAGCAGCAGCAAACTCTGTATAAGGGCATTCTTACCATGACACAGTTTCATCAAAAGTTTATTCTATGTACAAGCTTCCACCATAATTAAAGGACTGTCAGGGCTCAGGTCCTCTTAGATCTCTAAGATGCTTTTACCTCCCTGATAGGGATAAGCTACCAGAATGAAAAATAATTCAAACATAATACAAAGATTACTATAATTACTGAAAATATGGGAACCAAACATTTATATGCTGTAGGCACAGCAGAGGCTATGATAGAAACAATGTAACTACAAACATGCCAAGAAAACAGCAGATACTGTTAAAAGTGAGCACTTCAGATAATGACAGTTTACTTATTCAGTCCTTCAAATGTTAAGTCTCGACATGCTTCCCAGTATGTTTAGTACAGCAAACACGATGAACACAAACATACAGAATGCAAAATGATGAAATTAGTTCAATTCAACCATCGTGTATCTTTTATTTTCTAAATAAGGTCTTATTCTGTGACCCGTAAGAAAATATAAATAAAAAGCCATACTGAGCATCATACAGTGGTACGTCCCATGAATTCATTTTCATCCAGGCCAAATGTGTATTCTCAGAAATCAGATAAAAATTTCTCTATCTCACCAAATAAATGATAGCCACCATCCAAATCACTTTCAAGTAATGCTTTCAGAATGTAATTACTTACAATATCATAAATTTCTCGGTCATCCTCATCAGCTAAGGTCAGCAATGCTATCAGTGGATAGCGAGATCTGGGCACTGTACCAAAGTCTTCAATTTTGGTATCACTTGGCAACTGGCAATATATTTCTTCTTTGCTGTCCTTTTTAATACTTTTTGAAAATGTAAAGGAAAACTGTTATTATAGCCAATGAAACAATAACATGCCAAAATGATCAACAATATCGTAGCATCATTTTATTTTATTCATAAACAGTCTGACGCTCAACATTTTCATATGCTAATGGGTGTATCAGACAGAAGGATACACATACTGTTCTTGATAGATATATTCACTATACAGAGCATCTTCTAATGCTTGGGGAGTGCTTATTCTGAAGCAATAAGCGTGCTTCTGCAGAGCTTCGTATAATTTTTGAACACTGCACCCCCAGTAGCATGTAAGAAGGCTGTCTTCAAGGCAATCTGTTGTCAAGGTTATGCCAGCTGCAGAAAACAAAAGAGAAAATTACCTAAAGTAACATCTAATACAATTATACATGGTGAATAGCAAAAGCTTCCATGTGGATGCTGGCTAGAGTGACAGCAGTTAAAGGAACTCATTAAAGGGCATGTACCCATCAACGAAGGAAAAATAAAATATCTCAATGTCTACATAATGATTTCAGTCCTATCAGTAACACAGGGGCTCTGGTGGAGCAGTGGTTAAGGCATTTGGCTGCTAACCAAAAGGTTGGTGGTGGGAACCCACCAGCCACTCCATGGGAAGAAGATGAGGCAGCTCAGCTTCTAGAAAGATTTACAGCCTTGGAAACCATATGGGGCAATTCTACTCTGTCCTACAGGGTCACTAGGAGTTGGAATCAACTTGGTGGCAGTGGGTTTGATTTCTGAATCAGTAATTCACTCTTGGAGGATTATTTATACATTTAAACTATCTTTTTTTTCTCCCCCTGAAGGAGCTACTGGTGCCTATAAAAGTATTTCTATACATTCAAAAAACTGAAATATAGTTCACTATTGACAATCTACCATTCCAACAGTGTACATAATTCTAACTACAAGAAACGGTACAGCAGGGTAGAGCTGTCTCCAATAGGGGATACACACAACTCCCAGCATCCACAAGGTATCACTGGCATGAAATAATACTAAAAAGAAATTGATTTCCACTAATACTAACACACACATTGACAACATTAATACAGACTTTGTCACACAATTAATGTCCCACGTGGTATACAAAACAGCCTGAGGAAGAGTGATGACTCCAAACCATGGAGGCTTTAATAGTGATGCTCTCACTCGTTTATTTGCCTTCAGCATAATACAAGATACCACAGTTCAAGTAGACCTGATTGGCTGGACAAGTAGGCATGTTGTTGTTGTGGGCTGTCGATTCTGACTCATAGCGACCCTACAGGACAGAGTAAAACTGTCCCAGAGGGTATTCTTGGCTGTAATCTTTACTGGGCAAATCGCCACGCCAACCTTTTGATTTGCAGCCGACTGCTTATAACCATTAGGCCACCAGGGATCCTTTAAGTGGCATTCAAATTATACATACAGTTTCACTTATTTAACACTTACAGAGGACTTACCATATGCCACCTGTATGATTTTTTCCCCTCCCTAGTTGCAGCTGTAGCAATATCAAGCTCCAGGGTAGCAACATTCAGTGTCTAATACTGTTGGCAGTGCCAGGTGCAACACCTACTGCTCAATGGCAACAGTGTGTTTACTAGACTAAAGGAAATGGATCTGGTCAGTATTTCTTGCTAAACAGCCACAGTTTCAGATTCTGGTTCTCCAAACCTACTGTCAATTCTATAAGCTACCCAGTATCCTTTTAGGGGAGTTGTTTTTGTTGCTTACTCCTGGGAATTCAGATTAATACATTACCTATTTATTAAAATGTGGTTAAGAGTGTGTCTTAAAGGAGATACATAAGTATAAGCAAATGCTGCACAAGGTACCAACAACTATTTGAATTTTTCACACACATTGTTCTTCATGCCACTGCAGGACAACATAACATAAATAAAGAGGAAAAAGTTGAAAGTAGATAGGAGAGAGAGAGAGAAAAGGCATATGGGTAAAAAAGTGGGAAAAAAATACATAAAATTTAATACTGTTTAATTAATCCAATACTGTTGTACTACTGGCAAAAATATGGGAAGATGTATGCATAAGGCTATCACTGTAGCACTAGTTATTAACAGCAAAACTCTGGAACCAATCCAAATGTCCACAATAGGGGATTAAGTGAATAAAATATGGAATGCTCCACAATGAAGTAATATACAGCTATGAAAAAAAAGAGGCACATCAGAATATCTGTACATACAACTATGGAATGATCTCCAAGATATATTGTTAAATGAAAATGCCAGGTGTGGAAAAGTATATACAGTATCAAAAAAACAAAACAAAAAAAATTTACTGCCATCAAGTTGAATTTACTGCTGTCAAGTCAGATCCAACTCATAGCGACCCCTCCTTGGGTTTCTGAAGCAGTATCTCTATGAAGTAGATTGCCCAGTCTTCCTTCCAAGGAGTGGCTGGTAGGTTTGAACCACCGGCCTTCTGGTTATCAGTCAATATACTACAGTTTATTTCTACCACTCATCTGTCAGTTTGTCGTATTGTGGTGGCTTGCGTGTTGCTATGAGGGTGGAGGCTATTTCACTGGTATTTCAAATACCAGCAGGTCACCCATGGTGGACAGGTTTCAGCAGAGCTTCCAGACTAAGACAGGCTGAGAAGAATGACTTGGTGATCTATTTCTAAATAAAACTGGCCAGTGAAGAACTTACAAATATCAGAGAAATACTGTCTGATACTGTGATGAGCCCCTCAAGTTGGATGGCACTCAAAATATAACTGCCTCCTCAAAATAGAGTTGATCAATGCCAAGGATGGAGTAAAGCTTTCAGAACCTTCATTTGCTGATGTGGCACTACTCAAAAAAAAAAAAAAAAAAAGAAAAGAAAAGAAAACAGCTATAAACATCTATTTATAATTGGAACATGAAACATATGAAGTATAAATCTAAGAAAACTAGAACTTGTGAAAATATAATGGAATGTTTGAAGATCAATACCCTAGGTATTAGTGAACTGAAATGGACTGGTATAGGCCATTTTGAAGCAAAAAATCATATGGTCTACAATGCCAGGAATGATAAATTGAAGAGGAACAGCATCACATTCATTGTCAACAAGAACATTTCAAGATCTACGCTGAAGTACAAACCTGTCAGGGATAGGATAATATTCACACATAATATTCTTGAACAGCGTATCAAGAAGGAAGGACTAGTCAACCTTATAAAATACTGCAAAGAGGACACAAACTCAGGCATGAGAAACATCCACTGGATTTGGCAACTGCTGGGAGGTCAGAGGTGTGGGCAACAGAGAACTGGTAACTATGACAGACAGCTTTTAAGAAGCCCAACTGTGAAAGGAAGAAGAGAAATAAGCAGTAGCTACAGAACAATGAAAAGCTGAGAAAGTTTTGGTTCGTTTGTTTTTAAAAATACCAAAAACGTGAGCAGGTTTAAAAGGTGATGAAGTCTCAGCCCAGAAAAGTTACAGAACTACAGAACTGTATTTAGAACTACCTACTCGGTATTTCTACCTGTCACAATGGCATTTCAAACTCTGCAAGTCTGAACTCATTAAAACTATTGAAAACTGAACTTGTTATCTTTCTTCCAAAACCTGGTTCCTCCTGTATTCTTTATCTTGGTAACAGTATCTGTCTATTAAGGACCCATGCAAAGAACCTGAGTTTTCCTAGAGTCTTCCTCACCTGTCCCACCCTGTGCTTTTATCGTAACAAACCACATATTGTTTTTCTAATGTATTATTCTGTTTCTCCCTAACCTCAATGCTTTCTTCATGCTGTCTCATTCCATCTAGAACTTCTCCCATCCTGAAGAGGTAAAGGACCTACTTATCTTTCAAAACTCTACTAAAAATTAAAAAGGAAGAAAAGAAAATATGAGCAAGAGATGGATTTAACTGCAGCATATTGTTTTATGAAGTCTTTCCTGAACACACCTCCCCACTTCTGAAAATATAGCCATTTCATTCTTTACAATACACTCCATTCTCTATCACTGGTACCCAGATGGTTCAGCAGACAACTTATTTTTCCCAAGTACATAAACAAACAACTACCATCTATCATTACGATCTTCAAAAAAAAGTACATTTTGTATCAAAATAATTTATATGAAAATGTAAGTTTAGAGGAAAAGATAGCTGTTCTTCAGGGCAACAACCTTATATTAATAGCACTTAGACATATTACATTATCCTTACATTTCGCAATTCATCGAAACAAATGAAAATGGAACAGTATCCTAGCTAAATGGAGTAGTGTCCTAACAAATTTTTCACATTAATACCTGTGATAGTTTTCGCTTATCATTTGTACACACCTGTTTCTGCTTACTAGTCGGCAAGTTCCTTACAAGAAACATAAGTAAATTGTGGCATAAATAGACTATCAAGCATAACCCAAAATGCACAAACAGCAGAAGAGAAACCAGATGAATGGGACTTTCTAAAAATTAAATTTTTATGTGCTTCTAAAGAATTCTCCAAAAGAGTCAAAAGAGAACCTACAGGTTGGGAAATAAGGAGGAGGATTTCAAGATGGCAAAATAGGCAGAAAGACTGCACAGACCCTCTTCAACAAGAAAAGGGGAACCAATTAACACAGACACAGAAGATAATCCTGGACCCCTGAGCCTCGAAGGGAATGATACAGAAGTGGGCTAAATCCCAACTAGCAGAAGAATTTGTGTGAAAATACCAAAAAAGGAGACATATGGAGCTGCGGTCTGGCAGCGAACCTGATGGCACAGACAGCCTGGAGATTCCCGAGTGGTGGCAGGACCTAAGAATTAACCTAAAAATCAGCCCTGCTAGCCAGAGACTGCATGGAGGACTGTTCTGGTGGCTGTGGAATAAAAGGGGAAGCAGCAGTGAAGAGGAAAATGGACTAAGCAGTTGCCGGTCCGGAGGACGCTGCCATTTTGAATGTTTACAAGCAGCTTGACTATTTTGGATATTTAAAGAGACAGTGCTCCACCAGATCCAGGGGCTTAAGAACAGGTTCTGCTTGCCAGTAACCCCAAGAACACTCCGGACCTGCATGACTGAAAAGTTTTTTGATGGTTTTTCAATTGCAAATTTTGTCTGAGTGGGAGACAACAACAGTCCCCAAAAGGTACAACTACACCCACACCTCCTGCAACTTCATTTACAGAGCGAGAGCCACCATCTCCTATTCCACCAATGGACCAATGATAAGAAACCACCAAGAAGAGCCTGCCTGAATCACCCTTGGCTACTCTTCACAAACAATTATCAGAGATCTAAATACAACAATGCCACGATGCCTCGGAAACAACAGACCATCACACTCCACACAAAGAAGCAAGATAAAGTGGTAGAAACAAGGGAGCAAGA